GGTGTTACTACTAATAGATCTCAACAGAAATCCCTTCACGCTCCTGTCATGGAAAGCGTGAGGAATGACAGGCGCGCGTGAATGTGCAAATCGGAGACACCCGGTCTCCCCCATCAAAGGGACTTTTCGCAACGGATATCGCACTGGAGTGGGAATCATCTTCTTAAACTACTTGAATCAATAACGTTGAGTCCTTCTACACGGACTCTATGTTGCAAGGCGAGAGGCTATAACGATGCCTACCGACCGGACTGATGGAACGCATACACATAGCTAAATGGGTTGTGTCGAACCGATGATGGACTCGTGTCACTCCTGAATCTCTATCCCGCTGTTCAACGCAATCATGCGCTTCACTGTTGGTCTGTACTCCTGTCTGGCCGTTTTGGTTCTTGGGCAGTCCTCTTGTCCCACAGGGGATGCTCAGTGTCGGCGTGAGCATCCCGGTTCGTACTGCAAGTTCTATCAAGGTCATAGAGTCTGCCAGGGAACTGACACCCCCTGCTTTTGCACCACTACTCCACCACCGCCGCCACCCACTCCCACTGGTGGACCATGTGCTGATGGTGATGCTTTTTGTCAGAAGCAGACTGGTGGTTCCGGCTCCTATTGCAAGGCTGCTTACCAGAGTGGTCCCGGTGGAGGTGTTTGCCAGGGTACTGATATCCCCTGTAAATGTGGTGGTGCGCCTACGATAGAGCCAGCGTCTACGATAGGGCCAGCGCCTACGATAAAGCCGACATGCCTTATATAAGAAGACATCACATCTAGTTGAGATCAGATCTCACCAATATTCGATATCAACCATGCTTATAGCCATTGATATCTCTACTCTTTTCCGACCCTTATTACAAGGTCTATGACCAAACTATTGAGCCTACGGTTTGTGACTCGCCAGCTTAGCGGCTATTATAGGATTCATTGGTTATGAATGGCTCTTCTTTTTTCTGCGACTCGTTGGTATTGTTAGCGGATCTACAAGTAACCGTCGACGATCACGAGAGCTTCCGTCTCCATGGTTCGTGTTGCGTTGGGAGAGTGCAGTGGCAAATGTATATAATAACTGTACAGTACAGTCTGTACTATTCAGTTCAGAAAAGATCAACACTCGACTTGAGTGTTGACTTGAGTGACTCAAGTCACCCACCAGCTGGGTCCCAGCTCGATCATCGTGCCTCGATGAACCAAACTTGTTTCATCTCGCGTTGTTGCGTCCTAGATTGCGCTGGATAGCAGAGACTGACCCCATCTCACTCGTAAGTTACGGGTCCTAAGTTAGGACTCCTAACGCGATGTGTTTAGACATAACTCAGCAGTACTTCGAATGCATGGGTCTCGTGTTGATTGAGCAGATCAATAATTGATGATCGTTGGTAACATTACAATCGATAATTGTTATTTCAAGAGAGTCTCAGGTTGAACCTCCTATTGCGGTTCTCAAGTTGAGAGGGCACCCATCAGCGTAGAGTTCTATGTGTGCGCGGATAATCAGCCAATTTCCACGGCTCGTTTAAATTCAGCTTTTTATTTACAGCCCTATTCAGTAGACAGGGGCCGTATGCGGATCCTGATGCAACAGGTGAGTCAGAGTATTTACTCAGATGAAAAAATCAGATGGTGAGTATTAACCCCTGATTCGGTGATTTTTTACTCTGGAGCGAGAAATCAGGATCATCGCGATGATATGTGAATCTCCGAGCTGATTTGCGAATCTAAAGTTGATTTTTTGGCTGATTAATACTCTTACTCAATATGCCTTGCTCATGAGGCTGATTTTTCGGGTGATTCCATTAAATCTGAGTATTTTCGAGAATCAGGGAATCAGAGATTGGATCAGACATTTTTGACAAGACGAAGAATATAGTCGCTACGCCCCACATCCGAAAGTGACATTTTCAAGAAAGGAGGAAAATGTCACTTTGCGACGGTAGAACCTGGTAAATTCGCCCCAAATTCATGAGCATTTCCCGTTCCGCTATAACAATGACAAAATTGTGAAAGAAGATCTTTTGTCGCACGTGTACACATCCGTACTTCAAACTTTTCAATATGTTCACTCGGAATCCGACAATCCCTCAAGAGGATCGATGAAGGGCATTTATTGTTTTTATGAATAATTGATTGAATTAAGGAATGCGTAATTCACACCGTGTGGTTGCATGTACTACGTGCGCTAAACCTCCATCCACCGTTATGTATCGTGTGATCCCATAGCTGAACTGATTAAGGGTGTGCTTCCACGTGCTCGAAACAGGGGTTCTATTCCCGGGCAGGGTTATACTGATACCCTGTATGCACTACGTGCGCTATAGTATAGCTATACCTCCTTGCACTGTCTTATATTGTATAATCTCGCAGCTCAACTGGTCAAGGATACACTTTCACTTGATCAAAGCCGAGGTTCTATCCCCCGGCACGGTCATTCTAAGCACCTAAGCCATCGCAAGCAGCAGAGGAGGTTTACCGTGGCGCGCGCTGAAGTCGTGAATCAAGGTCGAGAATCAGAATCAGGGTTTGGTACCGGGGGTCCGGACCCCCGGTACGAATCAAGGCAAAATAACGTGGAAAAATGGAGATACTCACGGCGTGAGTATGATTCGGAATCACACGCTGAGTAAAAATCAGATTCTGAATCTTTGGCGTTCTCGAGTTGAGTAAAATACTCACGAGTATGAGTTTTGAATCACAATCACGTTGAAAAAATCTAGAATCATGATTCTTACTCACTGGGTTGAGTAAATACTCTGACTCATTGGTTCACAATCAGAATCAATGGCTGAGTATGATTCTGAATCAGGAATCATGATTCTGAATCAGGAATCATGATTCTGAATCAAGAATCGAAATCAACGCTTGAGCGAAATCAGGAATCAGGAATCGTACTCGCGAATCCTGAATCTGAATCTGGAATCAGTAATCATACTCACGAATCATGAATCTTACTTATGAATACGGAATCTGAATCAACACTTGTGAATCATGGTGTGAGTTGAATCAAAATCGGAAATCAGATAGTGAGTTGAATCAGTGCCTGTGATTCTCGAATCAGTATCCGCATACCGCCCCAGGTCGCACCTGCGTGGTTGCGTGAAAGGCTTGAGCGCTCATTCAGGGCCCCTCCCCTGGCGTGCGCTTATGCCATCATAGCATATGTTGAAGCTTTGGACAAAGCTGGTATCAAACGCCGAGTAGACCTGCTGCCAGAGAATAGAGGAATCGGCCTCAGCCGCGAAATTTCGGTTGCTCATCAGTGATCAATTCACATACGATATGTCCCATCAGATACACTATTTTAAACCTCTTTAGAGAAGCTCGTTAGCTAGTCCGTGGCGGAAAAATTTCCAATGACGGATGTTCGCGGTCCGCGAATCGCGGATCTATCCTCCAAAGATTATCTTAGTGAGGGAGGAAGGAGGCGGTTTTCGCGACCCATGTGGCTCGAACGAAAACCGCTATATGAGGTTCAATTTAACCGCATTCAAGTGTAGAATCCGCTACGAGAAATCCATAACTCTAACTTCTTGAGGATATTCAGTAATGATGTATCACGCTATGTCAATGGAATGTGTTTGTGTAGCATATTATCGTCCGTATATCACCGCCCATATATTACCACCTCCCCATACATCATTTTCCACATTGCAAACACAATCAGTGTGAACTGAACAACACCAACAGAGTTATAACACTTGAGCCATGTATCAAACACAGGCCATCCATAACATTCCACGGTGGAGTCTCCAGCATGAGGTAGATGCTCTAGGTAAATGGAGCATGTGCAACCAAAGACACCACTGGTGTCACACCAGTTGAATACAAGATATGAAATTTATTACACCAGAGCCTGAGGTCGCATACACCATGGAACACGACATGCCTGTGCATTACTGTGCCACTAATAGGCGAAGATCTCAGAACCCGATTCATCGAATCAATCTCCTACCTCCCGTAAAACTTCTCTTACCATACTTTAGCGCGCGCGATATGCACACATCAACATGTGGATTCGAACATTTTAAGACCAATCTCTGGTCACAGGATTTTAGTTTCAACCATACTTGAAAGGGCACCCATTGGCGTAGACCTCTGTGTACACGGATAATCAGCCGATTTCTACGGCTTATTCAAACTTAGCTTTTTCATTTGCAGCCCTATTCAATAGGCAGCTCGACACAACTCACTTAGCTATGTGTATGCGTTCCATCAGTCCGGTCGGTAGGCATCGTTATAGCCTCTCGCCTTGCAACATAGAGTCCGTGTAGAAGGGCTCAACGTTATTGAATCAAGTAGTTTAAGAAGATGATTCCCAATCCAGTGCGATATCCGTTGCGAAAAGTCCCTTTGATGGGGGAGACCGGGTGTCTGAGACACCGTGGGCCTGTTTCATAGGAGCAAATTGCGCCTTAAACTTAAGTAACGCCTTAAGTATACCTCAAGTAATTAGGACATCCTATTTCACTACTTAAGTAAGCACGTTAAGGCGCCTTAAGTTTAGGAATACTTAAGGGCCTTAAGTTTCTGTGCACATACTCGAGTGTTTACGAGAAGCATTTCACAACATGCGTACTTAAGGAGCAACTTAAGTAT